ACATCATCTGAAGATCTTGATCTACCAATGTCCTCTCTTTCATAAAATAAATTTTAAGATATCTCCAGAGGCTCCAATAAATTCAAGATGTTGCCAGAATATCTTAGTGACACGACTATCGTCAAACTTAAACTAGTCCGTTTCGTCTTTGACCAATGCGTAATAATGACCAGATTCAACGCCAGAATCACAGTGAACAATGACTGCATGAATATTATAATAGTGGTCTGATATATTGAAGTGTTCATCTATTTCGAACCTTCGTAAGAGTTAGTTGCTTCCGTCAGTGGTTGAGTCATGTTTGAAGATCATCAGTGTTATTATTAGATTGACTGGTGCCTTAGCTATACTTGCTGTCTTATAATAGTAAGTAGGTTTGGCGCATATTTGGCAATTCAGTTGATCATCACCCGTTGAAAGTTCTATTTTCAGATGATTTAACAATAAGCTATGTACGGATTGGTTATCAGACATATTAGGAAACGTTAGTGGAAATTCCAGAAAGTCACATACGTTTTTGATACCTCTTGAACATGTGCTACAAAGTAAACTAGCGAGAATTTTTCCAGCTAAAGATCTACAAACATGCGACGAGATAGACTGTGCAGAATCATTCAATACAGAACGGTCAGGAGTATTGATTCTACTATTTTCCTGCTCACGAAGAGTATTCAACAAGAACCCCAAGAGTTAGGAACAATCCTCTTGTTGTCCGTGAAAAAAATTAAGCTTTCAAATTTGATAATGCTTTTTACAGATACAAATCTAAGTAGGGCTAATAATATTAGGTAACGTGATCCATAAATATTTGAGAAAGTAGTATTTGTATGGAAGTACGACATTATAATTACGATAATCTACATTGATGGAAAATACGAAAACGATTATCGAGTTTCATCGATTTAATTCAATACTCACCACCAAAAATTCAAGTAAACGTGGGACAATTGAAGAAAATGGTCAAGCCCTTGCGTTAATATTGACAGTCATATGTATAGCTTCCTGTTCATTCTAGTGGCTATGCAATAATACTGCGTATTAGATAGAGACATGGTAACTTTATAAGGAAAAAAATCAAATGAAATCAATATTTGCCGAAGTCATTGTGTAGCAGCCAATATTTTTAGTTGTCATAAGAAGGATAACAGCGATATTTACGTCTACTGAATCGGAGAAATAATTATTCAAAAAAATTCACGAACCGATAGAATATAGTGAAGAGTCCAATTGAATGTGTGATTCGATATCGTGGAACATGGGCTCACACTGGTGTTAAAAGAGAGTGTTGGACATTTATATTATAAACCTGAGTTTATATTGAGCATTCTTAAGGAACGAGATTTTTGGAAATAATTGCTTTTTAAGATTCCCACATTTATTTTTAAATAAAGATGGGAAAGTAGAAAGCCAAAAACTTCTTTTCTCCTAGAGATTTTAATATTGATTTAATGAAAAACAATTGTTTACTTTTCCTCACGCATTCGTGGATCAACGTGGCCACTTTCGCTTCAAACGGCGTTGTTAACTCCCAAATTGTATTTAGACCTGAAGGGCTCTTTAGGAAATCCAAAAGACAAAGTTGAGAATTCGGAAAAGTCTGGAATTTATGGAATTAAATGTAAGGACTGCGATGCAAAATATTATGGACAGACAAAAAGATCTATCAAAATAATTATTAAGAAACACTAAGCACACTTAAAATATGGAAGACCAGAAAAATCAGCAGTAGCCCATCATATTTTGGAACAAAACCATTCCATAGATTTTTGTTCATTAAGATTAGTTAGACAAGTTAACCACAACAGGCATCTATAGATACCTATGAGAGTATAGAAATAAGTAAACATAATAATATTATGATTATCGATAGTGGACCAATACCTAATAGTATACTATATAGCTTATAATAATTATAAGATTTACCTGACTATTAGATAAGGACACATTGTAAGACTAGTAGATAAGGCAATATTGAGAAATTATTCAAGGTAGGTACTTAAGACGCAGGTACCTAGAACAGGTATCTATGGTATAAATGAGGACAACATTGTAAGTATATTTAGTTTAATCTTCCTCTCGATGATGATCACTTGGTGATCGAAACACGTCTCGAGGTGTTAAAATAACGGTTTGGTGTTGGGAAAACACTCCAGTAATATTCATTACTACACCAAAGGTTCCAAACAGTGCAACACAAATTATTCAAATTTTGTATTCGAAACGGCGGATTACATATTGTTTCACAACTACCTCAATATGGGTATCAAATGATAGGGCTTGACCAGTGCTGCTGTAATGTCAATTCAAAAAGTATCGAAATTTACAAGAAAATAGTACCCAAAATGTACTGCGCAAGCCTAGGCATGGTACATGCGCATAAGTCATTTCAGATCGAATGACAGTATTGCCAAACCTTTAAATTCGAAAAATATATGGAGTGAAAAATTTGCTGGAAACTAAGAAATGTACCTCAAGAGAAAGAACATAATCAGAACATTTGATAAAAATGTGTCTTCTTCCTTCTTTAAATTGCTCTTTCACGATTGCAAATGTGTTTTGTTTCAATTAGATTTCTGTCACAATAGAATGATCAATATTAGAGACGTTTTCAAGTAGCTAGATTTGATAATTCCAATGGATATTATGATTTTCAAATCGAAAGAAATATATTTGATAATTTTTTTCTTCTGAATATTTGAAATTTCTGACACGGTTCCACAAAGTTCTGTTTCTGTGTGATATTGAATATGAAAGGCAAAAAAATATTCTGGAACTAAAAATCTTTTGTTTGTACCTACATCACAAAAATAAATAAAAAACAATCATAACATCTTTCAGATGAACAATGTGGAAGATTATGCTCTGACAAAAACATGCATAACTTCAGTTCACTTGCACAGATGTAGCCAGCTTTGTTGAAGGAAGATTTTCCATTACAACTTGAATATTCTGGGATCTTTTCAAAAAATTCATCTTGGCTATATGCTTTCCAGTCTTGCTGTGACGAACAGTATGGTTTACTTTCCCTATTTGTCAACCACTCTGAGAACTCCTTAAAAGTAGTAATATATTAATCTTCAAAATACACATTTTTTATTTTTACTCACATCATCCCATTTAAAATTATACCTACTTATAAGTTCTTTTATATTTTTTTTTATGGAATGTAGCATCACCTCTATCCCCAGAATTATTTTCCAGATCTGGGTCTGATCTTTTATTTTCAAACTCAAGAATTGGAATATTTCCATTTTCTTCTTTTGAATTTGGAGTGTCTCGACCCAATGCTATCAGGTACCTAGTAATAAACAAAGGGATACATATTTTAAGTTCATTTTTAGTCAATATTATTTTTACCTGTCTATATTCCTGTTTATTTTGACAAAACAATGAAACCCAATTCCTCAAAGGTGAGGTGTGAGGTTAAAAGTTAAAACTGATGTTCTGCTGACTGACTGACAGATTACAAAACTACAGTTCACAGACACAACACAGAATTAAATAATGCATAGTTGTGATGACAGCTCACAATTTTGACACAAGTACGGTTTTTGCTGATCTGGAACTTGAAACACGGAATTGCATTGTTGCCACACATATTGTTATTATTTTTTATTGTACTCTGATGGGAGTCAACGTGAAAATGTAAAAAAATTGAGATTATAGTAAATAGTACCATATAGTCTACATATTGATCCGGGTAGTACCGGGTAATCATGTAATAGTACCGAATGCGGTACAATAGTACCTTAACGGCAGCACTGGGCTTGACTAGTAGAATACTAGTACACTTTGAAAGAGATGCAAATTCAAGATGGTTGCAGCCATAAAATGGCGGATTACATATTGTTTCACAACTACCTCAATATGGGTATCAAATGACAAGGCTTGACTACTAGAATAGTAGTACACTTTGAAATAGATGCAAATTTAAGATGGCCGCAGCTACAAAATGGCGGACTATATATTACCTTGTAATACTGACGCACTAAATGAACTAAACAGAATGAGAAGAATCGAGTAACAAAATTAGAAACTGAAAACTTGAAAATGAAATAAGTGAAAAATAGAATATGAATATGAAGAAAATAATAATGATGTAGATAATGTACTGAAACCTGAAAAATGATTCAGAAGATCCTAGGTAACAGTCATCACACCACTCCCCTCAGATAAAAAATAATTAACATTTTTTGGGCGTAGTATTTACAACGATTTTATTATTATTTATCTAATCAATACCGTAGATTGCTCCGTTCCGAATTATTTTTTAGTCTATACTACATCATCTACATCATTATTATTTTTTTTTCAATCAAACCGAACAATAAAAAAATTATTTACTCATTTTATTTCCTATTTAATCGATTTCATATCTGTAACGGTTCTGAATAAAGTAATGTTACCATATGATAAAAGAACGGCTTGTATTTTGAATACACAATGGCTTCCAGATTGAAGTAAGAAAAGCAATTGTTTGTATTGAACGCAATGGAAAGCAAATGTAATAGTAAATTTTGGGTTTCACAATTGTTTCCGATTCAATATTCAAATACGAAAAGTAGTTGGTCATTATTTTTGATTTTTATATCATTAATTTTTTGATAACACATTTCACTTTTTGTTTATATTTTCTGAGTAATTTTGGCCAGAGGTAATAGTGTGAAAGCTATTTTTCGGGTTTTCTTGACCGTGGTCTGCAGGTTTCTATGCCTGATTAATAGCATGACGAAACGTCAGGCAAAAAACGTGCAGATCACGGCCAGAAAACCCGGAAAATAGCTTTCACAAAATAATGTTGGTTTTATTGGTTCATTCCGACTGCTGATCGGGAATGCACTTCAGCCATTTAGTTTTTTGGTTCCTCTGTTCAACCATAAATCGTATTTCATAGAAATTATTATCTTAAATCCAATTGTACCCATATCCCGCACGTATTCAACTAGTATCACTAAAATTTGATCGCAGCAACGTATACAACATGATTTCGTTATTTACAGATTTTTCCATTACACTGAGAAGATGAGGGCTGCTGCGAAGATTTAATTTATGTGGCTATAGAAGGGTTTGGCGGATTACTTCGAGCCTCACTTGACCCTCTTTATATGTCAAACATTTCGAAATAAATTTTCGTGACTCGAGTGCCTCTGGAAAAGGAAAATGACCACCGAGGATACCTCCGGCCCCAGTGCTGCGCCTGACAGGTGAGTTGAGGATTTTGTGCCTATGGGCGATGAACATTAACCGGATTCACGTATTAAGGAAAGGGAGAGCGGGAGCCACGCTTCAGTTGCTTGATTTGATTTAATGTGCTCATTTCACCATATTGATTTGTTAATTTGATTCAGTTCTCTGGGTATTCAATTTGGAGTACGTCAATTAGTCCAATCGTTGACGGTAAAATACGGCGATGCTATCTGATTTTGCCAAACACACACAATTGCACGAAAATTTTGATTTAGGTTCTACTTACCCTCTAAACTGTGGAGGAAGTCCATTATATCTTAAAGTGGTGTGCAGTAGATTAACGAAGCATAAAAACTCAAAGTTGTCTCTACAATTTATTTTCACCCTCAGATATTAGAACGGTAAATCCATCAACCAGTACATGTTTCAAACCTATATAGGTTCATCATTAGTTAATTATTTAAAAATTATGGAGAAGAAAATATTTTATAATGGAGAAAAGAAAATTGTCACATGTTACCAACGAATGAATGGTCACAAAGACATATCAATAGTAATGACATTTTTTTTCGACGGAAGTTTATAACATCCTAGCTATAAATAATTGAAGTATGGGAGGCTTAGAGCCTTTATTTCTACTAATTAACACCAAAATAAAAAAACGCCACATAAAAACGATTTCTAATGAAAGAGATCCGAACTGAATTGAATTTCTCATTCAATTCAGGCTTAGAGCCTTTATACCCACTAATTCATCAAATAAATAACATCAAAATCAAAAATGCCATATGAAAACGATTTCTAATGAAAGAGATCCAAACATTACTATTAACATGTTTTTGTTACCATTTATTCATTGGTAACATGTGACAGTTTTCTTTTCTCCATTAAAACTATTTTTTTCTCCATAATTTTTAAATAACTAACTGATGATTAATCTATATAGGTTCGAAACATGTACTGATTAATGGTTTTACCGTTCTAACATATGAGGGTGATAATAAATTGTGGAGACGACTTTCAGTTTTTATGCTTCGCAACTCTACTTCAAAGTTGACTGCACGGATACTTTCACCCTGGGGGTGATTACCCTTCTCGGAGGTGAGAAATGTTCCGTTGAAAATAACTCCAGGTATTGAACTTTGTTTTTTTCAACTTTTGATTAGCAAGTAGAAGTGTCATTCAACCAATAAACCAATACATTCAGCATTTATGTTAATGTAGATTATGGAAAAACAAAGATAAAAGTAGATTTTTATTTTGAACGGGGGTATAGTTTCGGAAAGTATATTTAACCCTCCAATCAGCGAGAAGGTCCGTAGGACCTTTTACAATATGTGTGAGTTCATAACTTTTTGTTATCATGCGCTAGAAACGTGTCGCTACATGTATCCTATAAAAACAACATGCTAAATCGATTAAAATAGGTTTCAACCCAATTCAATCTCCGGTTTCACTTTTTCTTTTGTTTTAAGCCATTTTCGACTCAAACGCAGATACAAGATCCCTACAACCTTATATATAAGAAAGGGGTTACTGTGGATAAAACCGTTGAATGTGTATTTGACCCAGGTACCAGCCAATGTGAGACCATCGCTTGACGAGTAAACACGTATTATTGTGCATTTGAGTTTTATTGTTTAATTCTTTGGGATGTATAATTTTGTTTCTTTGGTTATTCTTCATGTTTATAAGGTTATTTTTGTTTGTTATATTTTTGTCTAGTGTATATAATTTTAGGTGGTTGGTTTTATTCTGTAGAACAATGGCAGACGATGAGTGGGATCTTGTGAACATGGTTCTGAATAATAATACTTTACGCTACCAGCGTTTGACTGAGGAGGAAAAACGTATCGCCGATGCCAAATGATTGGCTTGTATGGAAGCTGAAATGGGCGACAATGGTGACCCTTTTGAAGACGGCGATTATGACACTGACCCTACATATCGGCCAGAATATGATAGGGATGTTTCCGATGTTGAAGTTGAAGGAAAGATAGAAATCGATGTCAATCAATCTCAGCCATTGCTGCTCTTCTTTAGACTGAGACTGATGCAACTTACTTTATTAGACTGAGACTGATGTAACTTACTTTATTTCGAAACGTACGAAATGGTACAAAGATCCTCCACCGAGCAGTCGTATACGTGCTTATAACATTATCGACTACACACAAAATAAACCAGGACGAACGCAGAAGATGATTTATGATTCGTTTTCAATGTTTCTTTCTCTGATCACCGAAAATATTGCTGAAATTATCATACGCGAAACGAATCGCAAGGTCAACCAGGTAGCCGCTATATGGAATCAAAAAAATTTTACCATGCAGAAGCAATAGAAAACATTGAATCTGAAAGAGTTTGACGCGTTCGTAGCGATTATTTTGTATGCTTGGCTGATAAAATCCAACACCGAGCCTGTAAAAAAACTATAGGGCTCAACCCATGCTCAATATTCAAAGTTGCTTTATCGTTTTGTGTCAATTACAAAGTTCACTTACCAAGCACCAGATGTATATCAATAAAACATACAATGCAAATACAATTTTAGTAATATTTTTGTGATTCATTTTACTGCCTATCTGTCCAAATAAACCAGGAATATTTTACCTGGATTGAAATCAATTTTTTTGCCATACCACTCATATTTTACGAGTCTTACCCTTACCTATCTATACCATTCAGACACTTCATACAACCATAAGCTACATACACATACTCATGTAGGCACACTGATAAGACACCTGCATACTTATCATTCATGCGACCTCAGTATATTTTTTTAAGATACCTGGGGATCTCGTTCTTCGGTTTACCGCTCGCGGGACTGTAATCCATCGGAGGATTAAACAGTTTAACAAAAACGCAACATGTGTTTCCATAGTATAGCATAGACACTAGTGAAGAATCTAGTGTATAGTGAAACACTTGTTGCGTTTTTATGAAACTTTTTAGTGAAAATACCGCAATGAAATTTTTATCGAATGAGGTGAAATTTTACTTACATGGAACACTGTCATCATCAATGGCATACATCGATGTTTCGGAATAAGACACTTGTTTTATTGCCTCTTCAGTACCAATCTGAATAACATAACAAGAAGAAGCACTCAATCCATTCGTAACATTAGTACTTTATGTCATGAATGAGTTGAATCTACTAATGTCATAGATGACCGTACTTGATGACATTCATTCGCTTATTTGAATTAATTCCAGCCATAGAAATCTTGTTCAATTTGAAAAGGGTGTATTTTCAGGACAGATTAATTTTTGGGGAAGAAAGGTTTTGGCTTCCTAGTTTTTCATCTTCATTTTTCCAAGAGCTGATACAAATATGTTGAATGTGTCACTATCTTCATTCGGGTTTGAAGGCCGTCGTAGTTTGGAACTGCTCCCTAACGTTTCGCCAGCACGAGTGGCTGGCTTCTTCAGAGGTTTATTCATCTTGATGATTCACCGATGACTGGTGATTTTACTTCAGTCATCATGTTTTCGAGTTGGATCAGGATCTCTGACTTTTTCATCATGATTTGTTTATTTACATATATATGGATCTGTATGTTGAATATGGGGCGCGGCCGAAATTTCTCTCGACGCCTGTGGTATCCCTCTTGGCGGGAGAGTTTCCTGGTAAATAGCATTTTTGCGGCCTCAAGATTATTATGATCTCATCCCGTGACAGGGCCTTCGAGGCATTCAGTTTGTCTTGACTGTGGGGGTGTTAACCGTCAGCATTGTTTGCAGAATGGGAAAGTTCATCAGCAGAGTCTGTAGCTGGTCGAAGGCCGTGCATAAACCGTCGACTGAGCTGGGGTCACTGCTTTTTGTGGATTTTACGGCTCTCACATATGAGACTCCGTTTTTTATCGTGTTTGTTCCTGCCGGCCATTTTGGTTGGGCTGGCAGGTCTTTGGGTTTGGTGTTTCCCTTTTTGTTTTTGGGATGTTCCGGGCATCCTTGATAGTTGGCTGGGTGTTCTCCTTTGCAATTGAAGCATTTCGCCGGGGCTTGCTTCGTCTTTTTACACTCGGCCGTCAGGTGGCGGCCTGCACATCTTAAACACGCAGGGACTGCTTTGCAGTTTTTCTGCGAGTGTCCAAACTTTTGACAGCGGAAGCACTACTGTAGGTATATGTGCATAGGACTTTCCGGTTGTTAGTGGTGTCTCTGAAATATGTACTATGAAATGACAGTTGACACTGACGGAAGAACGGAGTTGTTCACATTTAGGATTTCCCTGACTTCGTATATATGGCTCTGTTTCCTGGTAACGAGGACCAATACGAGCGGGAGCGGCTTTTTATTTTGTTTCTTCAGTCTGGCTACCGATATAATATCGAAGCCTTTGGCTTTCAGATCGTCTTCGATTTTTGTCGGCTTCGAAGAATTCAGGTACACCTCGGAATACTACTCTTAGGGGTTTTATTTCCTGCATTGTGTATATATGATGCGGGATTTTTTCTTTGTCTAGTTTTCTGATCATTTTTCTGAAGTCGTCCGGGCTTGCGGGTTGGACTTTGACACCATCATTTGTATTTACCGCCTCCGTAAATTTATATTCTCTCGTGCGGCTATTTCACTGAATTTTGCCCACTTATCTTTTTGCCTAATAGTGATAGGTGGTGGTCTGATTGTTTTTGGGCCGGTTGCCTGTACTGTTTTAGGCATTACAGTCTTCTATTCATGTGTTTCGGTTTCCATATCTTCGGATGCATGTTTTTTTTGGGTTTTTGAGTTTTTGGGACCTCGTTGGCTTGGATGTCTTTGCATTTCAGGGTTATTAGCCCTGAGTTTCTGAGGTTTTCTAGACGGCATTTTCGTCTTTTCTATTTTTGGTACATCTTTTTGTACCTGTGTTTTGGTCTTGTTGTTTGTTTTAGGTTTTTGTGGCTTTTTTGGAGACTCTGTCTCAACCAGGCGTTTTTTATTGACAATCGTCTCTTCTTCTAGGATTTCTTCAGAAGAGTAGCCTGATATATTATGTGTTTGGTCATCTGACATTTTGTCGTATCCGCAGGATCTTTTCTGCTCTAGTTCCTGTCTTCTTTTTCGCATTAGTATATGCGTCGAAACGAGTTCCTGTGGTGAAACTTCGTATAGATCTAGTAGTTTGGATATCATGGCTAATACCATATCTCATGTTATCGTTTCGAATGCTCAACTAATTTGAACTGATGATGGATTGATGATATACTAGTACTCCAACAGTAACTTTCTATTGAATGGTGATTTTCAGTACGTGGGTTGTATTTTTGTTGATTCAGGTAGTCCGCCTCTCTTGTTGCCTGAAGTGTTATTATCTGTTAATGACATAACACTGAATTGCGCTGTTGCCATCTTTTAGTATGGGATTCCAAATCCGGTTAAGCGTTACCGACTCCTCTTTTCTGTAGAGTTTTCCGTATATTCATGGATTTCTATGGTTTCACGTACAATAGGTTGAAGGTTGGTTCTTATTCGTCCAATGTCAAAATCGAAAATTTCGACGTGGAAAAACGAAAAAAAATCATTTTTCCGGGAAAACTCATGGATTATTGTTTGTAGTGTTGGAAACACATTTACTTGAGTTTTTTAAAAAAGTACTTACCACCCCAAGCTTTAGAATACTAGAGCATAATTACAAGTAGGTACACAAAAAAAGTGAATTGTAAAGTGGTTACTATTATTTTCAGGTAACGGGTAATAGTGAGTGGTTTTATGATTTTTGTCGTCGATAATAGTGACAACATAATTATTGTCGCTTAATGTGGTTGCTAGAAAAAAACAAAATGATTTTTACTAGTACTTCAAAGAAAGTTTCATGAGTTTCCCTCGAAAATACTTACTTCACGTTGAAAATTCGAATTTTGTCGTTTGAAAAATAATATACAACATTTATGAAGCTATTACTCTATAGACACCATGTTTTTTATAAGTTTTCCCTTAAATGAATTTTGAACGATAAAATGCTAACTTTTTCAATAAATTGGTGGAAACATGGGAATTAAAACTTTCTATGGTTTCATATCCCTTCAATTTGTCACTTCAGTTTCGTCCTAAAAGGACATTTTAAGGCGAATACAATAAACTTTTCGAGTTATTCACAAAAAATCATTTCAAAACATGGTTTCACTGTTAGAAAAATTGACACTTTCACACTCACGAATGAGTCGGAAAGTGAAGATTTCCTGAAAAATATCTATGAAACAAAAAATGTTGAGGATGAGTTGATCTATCAGATCATCTATCTATAAATTGTTTGATGTAGCCGTTACTACGTGCTAGGATACCATGAAAAATGAGAAATAAAATGTTTTTTTGTCTCTTGTATTTGCAACTAACGTTATTGCAGTTTCGTCCTATAAGGACATTTTCGAACGAATACACTAAACAATACTAAACAGTTTATTGCATTTGTTTGAAAATGTCTATATGGGACAAAACTGCAGTAACGTTAATAACAATTACAAGTGGTAAAATACATAATCTATCTATTTTCGGGTTTATTTTTAATAAAACAATTTTCACCCTATAGAAGGCTTCATATAGGCTCAGCTTTTATGAGGTGGGTAAGTAGACTACAAATCCAAATTTCACTGCACATCGGTGCTGTTCAGGGTGAAATTATGCAGAAAATAGTTTATTGACTGGACTAAATATCATTGATCTCACAACGACGATATCGGTTTGTTTGAAGAGAGACTCGAAATGTGGATGTTTTTATTCAGTCCAGTAATTTTTTTGAAGCTCATCGGAAGAATCTGAATTCGCAATCATCAATTTCATTTCTGAATAAGGAAATTATCTGAAGCAGACATTTCATTGAAAAAAAAACATTTATAAGGATAATTACTTGAAAGTAATCTGAATTCTGGTGAAATAAGAATTTTCACTCCCGATTAGACATATCTTTGAAATATGTATTTTCATTGGAAGCGATCTCTCCTGTCGAAGAGAAGAAATGCTGGAACTCCAAAACTTTGATGTTAAAAGGTTCAAAATAATATCACAGAAGATCACCAAATTCATATGCTGTATTTATCGACCACCTAGCGATACACAATGTAGGACACTATTCTCTTCACTTGCAAACACCCTTGACTTTCTGCAAATCAATCATCCCAGTGCCTAAATTTCCATATTCGGAGAATTCAATGTCCACAATATCGAATGGCTCAAATTTTCAAATATCAACGACAAACAAGGTCCCGAAGCTGAGGCTTTTGCAATAAGCAGCAGACTTACTCAGATTATAAATAAACCAATCAGGATTCCTGATCGTGATGGAGAATATGCCAGTTTTCGGGATCTATATCTAACAACCACTCCAGAAATTTACACAGTTAGCGTAATGTCCCCATTGGGATCTTTCTCATTTCTGTGTTGAGTGAATTACCGATGAATGCCAAACGCAAAGTTTGACATTACAGATCAGCTGAATGGCAGGATCTTCAAGACCATTTCCGAAATTTATCCTGCCTATATGTCTTCTTCGATTGACGACTTGTTTATTTTGTGGAAATTCATATTCACCGAGGATACACTAAAAACACACTTTTGTCTATTTTCCACTATATTTCTTTATTGTAACTGCTTATATGTGATTCAGCTCTAAAGATCCATCAACTTGTGCTTCTGAAGTCACGAAAGTTATTCTATCATCTATGGATGCATATATTCCTTTTTTAAAGAAACGACCTTTTAAAGGCAAACAAAACAAAACAAAATTCCTCATCCAAAAATCTTGCATACCGGCAGTTTCGCAAAAATCTCAGTACCGAAAAGAAACTTCACAATCAGAGAATTAGGGATGAAAGGCTTGCCAATTCCAACGGCTCTAGATCCTTCTGATCGGTAGCTAAAGATGTTAATCAGAACTTTACAAAATCCACAATTCCACCACTAATACAAGCTTGCTCGCGTTCAGCCTATTCCCAAAAAGGGAAAGAAAAATCTTCCAAATATCTATAGACCAGTCGCTTTACTATCAGTGATATCAAAAATCATAGAGAAAGTCGTAAACCACCATAACCTCAAATATTTAGAAAGCTTCAACATCTTGAGCGATCATTAATATGGCTTTCGGAAACAAAGATCAACAGGCGACCTTTTATCGTATGTCACCCATATTTGGAATAACGCAATTGAGAAACATGACGCCGAATCACCTGGTTACCAACAAACAGTATTGTTTACAGCTCACGCGTTTTATTTAAAGTCACATTTAAAGTTCTTGCTGTTGTTTAATGTATACAGTGTGTAACAACGAAAACTTGAATATAAAAAGTAAGATTTTCAAAAAAAAGCTCGGACACGTCGATTTCTAATCAAAGGGGGACACCTTTTAGACTAATCAGACTTTTTGCAGTACGCACCCCCTCGGAGGGGTGCGTCCGACGACCCTTATTTAGATAGGGAAAGTAGGTCGAGTGGCACCTTGTTTTAAAGGTCTTTCGAATACCTTTACATCTCTGTTGAGAAAAAATTTTTGTAACGATTAGTTTTCGAGATAATTTGAAGATTTAAAGGTATTTTTCTTGAGTTCTACTCTTTTTAAAATGAATCAAATTGTTTTTAAGGTAAAATTTACGTTCAGAACTTTCATAAAAAAATAAATTATTGCTTTTTATGACAACCTGCTAATACGTGTCCATTTGATTTCGTGAAAAAGTAAGAATTATTTGTTTATTACGAAGATATTTTTTCGGGGGATGGGGTTGGTTACCACCCTTACATTTTAGGTGAATTGAGTGGCACCTCCTTATGGATATTTTATGCTTCTGATAAAAAAAGTGAATCATACTAAAAACTTACCTACACAACGAATACAACCTGCTGATTTCCTTGAATGCTGATGTCACAGAAAAGTTCAAAAAACTGTTTTAGGGCTGATAAACCTCTGATTGCTGATAAACTTCTGGTACTTAAGCTGGGATTGGCGATGACTTGACCAATCACTCCAATCGCATTATCGTCATTCACTACCCTTCTCTGAACATTTATTTTCTTATTTAAAACCCAACCTGTCTCCCTGAATTTTGTGACCAAATCCAGAACGTGATTTCTACTTTGGTGTTTACCAGGGTTTTGCTCGTATAATAAAATTGATGTTCTATTAGCATTTTGGTCGTTGCCAAAAAATAAAGCAATAACTGAAATCCTTTCAGCAGTAGTGTAAGGCATTTTCAAACAAATAACAATACACGACCCGTTTAAACAAAATAATCGAACGATGTACTAATGAAAACTGGAAGAAGAGGAGTGAGTATTGATTTCAAAACAGAAAACTGATAAGAAGAATTGCTTCTGATGTATTATTAACATGGCAATTTTAACTTCAAATTATCTCGAAAACTAATCGTTACAAGACTGCATAAGGTTTGTATGACCTCACATCTGTTCGAAATGAATATTTATTTTACGAAATTTAAATTATTTCTGGAAAAACGGAAAAAAGAAAATAATCTTTACAAAATAACAATGACTGAATAATATTCACCAAAATTGATTTTCCAAATGTAACTCTATTTCTTTTTTCATTATTTTCAGTGGAGCAACAGATCGGCAAACCATAACGGAAAATAACAAAGGAGATCCTGCCGTAACTCAAGTACCCGATGGAATGAGTGCTCAAAGGTAAGCACATCCACTATTTTCAAATAGTTCACTTATATCTACTTTGAACCACGTACCTAGTCTTCAACTTCATGTAAAGGACGAAATTCGGATAATATAAGAAACTTCATTATATTAGATTCAAATTGGACATTTCAAAATTGAGTATAGTCGAAGTAAACGACATTGTGCACTCTTGAAGTTGAAGTGCACTCTCAAAGGCTAAAAAAACCAATACATAGAAATGAACCGGCAGCGAACTAGTCCACGTGGACTCTAGACGTATAGACGGTTCGTCTATAGGATGATTTTTACTAACCAAGTGATAATTGGCTGAAGAGTCATAAAATCAAATTTGAAGTTATGTTACGGTGACGAATAGAAATCCTGGAATGTGGGGATGGTTATCGCAGTCGTGTTCAGTTCAGGAACTGATCGCGATTGGAGTGTTGAAATTCGATATTGGTGCAGTTAAAATTACTTAAAATTTTTGTTATCTGTTGAAAATGTGGCGCCCTTGGATAAGTACTAATAGTAATAACGAGTGTGATAAGAACCAAAAGCGATGGCGAACAATGCGAAAAAGAGATACTAGTGAATAAGATCCGGATGCATTTGAATATTGAAACACAAGCAGCATCAGATTTGACCGAAATTCCTTTTTTAACTGTACGTAAAATAGTCAAAAATAAAACTTATGAATGCAAAACGCGATGTGATACAGGATTACCAGAAACCTTTAGATGTTCATCTGATAAAATCCATGAAAGAAACCAACTGTTACAGAAGCAATGAGATTCTTACAACTGAAATCACAAGGAAGAAATTGAATACTTCCGGCTGCTGTGACAAAACTCTTCATAATCGGATGAAGACACTAGGATCTAGTTTAAAAATAATAAAAAAACGCCAAGCAGTTATGGAAAGCAGAAGAATAGTGGAATGGCGTAACTAATACTCAGAATAAATAACTAAGTATAGACAAGAACAACGGCAGATTTTCTATTTGGACGAAACTTGGTACAACAGGGTGTACGAGAATGTGTACGCCTAACATGTCTGCAAACAAAGGATCGCGACAAATCATTGTACATTGCGGAGGAAGTAAATGATGGATTCCGAATTCCTTGAAATTATGTGGAAAAAACTTAAGGACTGCAATGTTGACTATCGTAAGAGAACATGGAAGTTAATAGTTTCGAGGAATGGTTCGAAAACACATTGATTCCAAATTCGGATGCGACTAGTGTAATAGTTCTTGACAACGCTTCCTATCATTCGCGGCAGCTCATCAAAGTATCAAAGAAAAATTCCAGGAAATATGTAATACAAAGTTTTATAATGGATAAAAATTTGTATTTTGAAGATTACTATACCAAAAACCAACTACTTGAAGTTTTACAGACAAAAACATTTCGAAAAGTGTATGCCCTTGAGGATATTGCTAAAAAGTATGGACACATCATACTGAGACTTCCCCCCTATTTTTGTGTTTTTAATCCCATCGAGTTGATTTGGGGAAAATTGAAACAAAGCATCAGGCGTGAAAATAAATTTCCAAAATTTGATAATACTTTCGATTTTCATTCTTGACGACCGTGATGTCAAACAATGCTGGGAAAAAAGGGACTTCGAAAAAAACTAAATAAAAGAAGAAATTATGAATGTTATGCTTCCTGTCAAGGAAAACTCCTTGGTCATTGGTGGTTGAAGGCCAGTCCTTTTTGGAAGAAAAAAGTACAATCCCTCAGTAGAAGTGGATTTTTGTATTAATTCAACGAGAAAATTTGAGAATATTGAATCTGCTCATTCCTGAGATAGTGTGTGAAATATTCTCGATTTGATCTAATTTACTTTTCATTGCCAAAGTTCACTGACTGAACACAGAAATCTTCAAGGCCATCCACCATATACTGGTAGGTTATTCTTATTATCAAATAACTCTCTTTCTCTGTACGAATTATACCTACCATTTCTCCTAGAGGTTCCCGTTTGAAACCGTCTTTTATTTTAGGTCTTCTTATTAAGGTAATTAGTATTAGTATCGTTCCTCTATTATAGTCGTAATATTTCTGTTCCAATTTTGATGAAGTTTACATTTATTTGGCCATGAAAAACTTAATTATTCAGTTTTGTTCAGTGATGAGAACACTTTTCATAACAATAGGACTGTCAACAGCCATAACTTCCACTATCATTTTGATTCCAATCCATATCAATTCAGAACTACCCATAATCAACACAGATGGTCAGTGAATTTATGGGGCCAAATTACGGATCAATATTTGAGTAGTCCTCATTTTTTTCGAAGAACGTGTAAATGACGTGTAGTTTTTAGAATTTGTGACAAATCATTTTCTAGTTCTATTTCAAGAAATTCTCATAGGAAGAACGATACGGCTTCAAATGGATAGAGCTCCCGCACATTTTCATAGTGAGGACCTTGGATTCGACGGAATGAATTGCAAAATTGGCCCCCAAGGTCACCCGACCTGACGTCATCCAATTTATTTTTACGGGCATACATTGAAGGAATTGTTTATAATACACATTCAAACAATACCAGATAATCTGAAACGCACCAGAGAAGTGTAAGAGGATACGTTTGTGTTTCAGTTTCAGTTTGTTCACTTGATATAACATTTTGCTTGTTTTATATACACCATTAAAAATATTTCTAATTGAAACATATACATAATATTGAAAATATTGAAAAACACACGCATTTTATATTACACCTCAGTGTTCATTTTATTCGATTCAGATTTGTAACAACGCCATAGGCGATTTGATACACAATACATTTCTGAAAATTCATTTGCAAAATGAAAATGTACATTTTACTTGAAAACGTGAAGAGTTAGCTATGCAGATATTTGAATTCGACTCCTGCTCTGAATATAAAATACAAGGCGTTCCATTGGATATGAACGAAATATTGTCGTTTAAAGATTGTAACTGTTTTGCATTCTATTTTACACACCTTGTATAATTTAGTTGATATTCCACAAGTGCGAAATAAAAGTTAGTCAATTAATACATTGATTTGGTTCAAAATGAGCAATCACCATTTGGGACTTCAAACATTGAATCTGACACTATATTTTCACAAAATGAGAGATATTGCAAAAACTATAAGATTTAGGTGAATTAAACTGGCACATCCTGTACAATATGAGAATATTTCAAAATGTAGCACTAATAGATTTATATTTATCCACTGGAAAAAAAATAAAATCGAATGCTTTAACCATAATGCTTCGAGTTGAATAACGTGAATAACCCAGTATTTAGCCCATCTACTGCTGCATTCTATATCCCTGGAGAAATTGAATTAATTTTTTGTAACGGTCACTCAAGCGACTTGACCCTTTAATGACCCTAGTGCCAGTCGATTGGAACAGCACTTTCTCTTTCCTTACACTCCACTCTAAAAGCCGATAGTTATTAATGGTCTTTTCAATCTAGCAAACGCATGAAAGCATGTTAGGGATATCAAGATATTGGAAGCGATAATTCCCAGCTGCATTTTTGGGTGAATTCAGTATACAAGGTGACTCCATGTAAACTGCGTAAACTGCGTAAACTATAAATTGGAAAATTATAAAAATTTCCCATTATGGTTATGATGTTGAAAGCAACTCATTCATTTCATTTGATGAACATTTTGATGAAAATTTCAATTATATATAATATCACGCAACTTAACTCATTACTCTTGAATGCACTTTTGCCTTTGCATAAAAAAGTAAACAATTTCTGTAACTTTGGTTCAAAATGTCCGACGTCTAATCAAACGTGTGACTTATCCAATAATAGTATGACTCCGAACGTAGTTGTCAAACATATATTCTTAGCGTAGATTTGAACGTATCCTTCTAGACCGGGAGATAGTGGTATATTTTGGTAAGTCATTTCTTACAGTATGGCGCTTTTAGGAGGATTCTTATACGTAATAAGTGAAAGGAAAATGATGTTCTTACCGGTGCGTGCGACGCAATTGTAGAATAATTAATTGAACTTACTCGATAATCGGAAGGTGTCAAACAATTTCTGTCACCAAATTTAATCGATTTATCGGTATTTTAACAAAAAAAATCTGGCGCTCCCTATATGCCTTACTTTTTCAGTGGGTGTTTAGGCCTTCCATTCTTTTTTTTATTTATTTTTCACTTCATATTTTACAGCAGATTTTTCTAAACAAAAAGTTACGCATGCACATTAAGAATAACAAAGATAAACGTTTTCAATTTCAGAAAAATCGGGAGTGTCTAAATTATCATGTGGGTCATGCCCGATGTTTTATATAGGTCAAACTGGCAGAACGTTCAAAGCACATAAAGGAACACAAAAATAGTTTTCAGAATGGAAAAATAAATTCCACATATGCCGCTCATTTATTCACAGAGGGACATTAGTTCAACCATGAATTCAAACCTCTCCATTTTCAGAAGAAAGGTTTGAAACTTAACTTGTTGGAGAGTATGGAAATGAACAAATTCAAAAACTCTCAATATATCATGAACGATCAAAGTGAATTGAATAATTCGCTATTATTGAATCTGTTCATTTCCAGGTGAAAATAGTATATTTACGGTACGGTAAAAAATGTATTCATAATTGACCTTTTCAGGTAGATTCATTCATCAGAAAGTAGGCATACAAGTAGGTAATATTTTAGAGTATAAAATAGTTGTAATTCAGAAGTAACTTATTATTTTACGTTCGAAGAAGCTATTGTATAGCGAAATACGTGTCGCGGTTTTCGTAAAACCCTGTATAGTGAAAATCATACAATAAACTGTGTACATTAGTTTTTTTATTCCCTAAAAAAACAAAATTTTAGAACTCTCGGTATTATGCCTGTTGAAAATAAAATAAATATTTTCTTCATTTTTTTTCGTGTTATTTTCTGTTATTTCCTTACCAAAAAGGGAAATCGTTTTCTTAATATTACCTTTATTTCACATCCAGATCAAAATTTGGCAAGGTATTTCATATGCCAAAGTACCACAACATTA